ATACAGCCACAGGAGAAGCAATAGCACCAGAGTGAAGTGGGTTTTCTGTAGTCCAAGAAGGTACCGTCAAAATGCACGTAGAAGGTTAAGGATGCAGGGAGTTTTGCTGACGGCTGACCTTGAGGATCGAAGGGTAGAGTGGGAAAGGTAATAGAATATAGGAAAAGATCAGGAGTTGGGACCAAGAAAGGGATTATACAAGGTGCCAGGAGATTTTCATGTGGAACTTGATTGATGACTTTGATGTCTTAATATAAAGGTTACAATGAAATTAGTGCTATTTTCCCCAAAGAAGATGAAGTGGAGTGTTTTGAGTGTTGAGGAGAAGGAATGGTTGACAGTGGGTGTCTTGTCAAGAGGATATAGCCTCCTACCTGATTTTTTCTGCTATAGATGTGGGCTCACATTAAGGGTGAAGTCATAATGCACATTGGTTTCTCGCCCGCACTAGTAGTAGCCTGCGGAGTAGTGTGCATGGAGAGTTAGACACATTCCCTGTCTCCTGCTGAAAGAGACTTGTGGGCAGCAGAAGAGTCATGTTGCCCTAATCCCAGCTAATTTGTCATCCACATATTCAAATAGTTCTCGGGACTTTATTTTTGGACTAGTTAACAGTCTACTGAAATACTTAGGGGGCATGGAAACTATTGGGGTGAGAAATGAGCACACCTGATGACTCAATAGCTGAGAATGTGGTGGTTCTGCAAAAATACAAAGATGACTGATGCTTGAGGGTGCTGGCAGACAACATCTTTCCCAAATTTAATATCTCTCCAACTGCTTCCAGATGCCTGAATGTCCACATTTAGAGAATTATAGAGTTTCAAGTCCAGATAAGCTTAAGAGGAAAGCAGCATGGCATCTCTGGAAGAGTGCAGTTTTTGGTAATCCACAGATCTGGGCTTAAACGTCTGGCCTCACATCAGCTATGTTTGAGTCAGTTCACTTTCATTTATTTCCTGACCTTACAGGAAAAAGTGCAAAGAGCAAATTTTCACTGAATAGAGACGAGTATGCTTTGTTCTCATTTCTTCTCAGGGCTATGTAGAAATAGTCACAGAGTTCTGTTGTGTACTAGAGTTATTTACATTATTGTTGTTGTTGTTGTCATTGTGTGTCATCGAGTCTCCTGTAATTCATAGCGACCCTATTTACAACAGCTCTGAACCCTCTCTATGCTGAGTCAACCTTATTGTCTCTGACACACCTACTCCCATCACCCCAGTCACTGAGTCAATCCATCTCATCGAGGGTCTGCCTCTCTTGTTCTGTCCCTCCACTCTCCCATGCATGACATCCCTCTTCAAAGATTGGTCCCTCCTTGCAACATGTCCAAATTATGTCAGATGAAGCTTCAGAATCCTTGCCTCTAAGGAGCAGCCTGGTTTCACCCTCTCCAGGTCGAATCTGTTTGTTCTCCTAGCAGTCCATGGGATGTTCAACACTATTCTCCAGCACCACAGCTTAAAGGCATCAATTCTCCTTCTATCATCCCTGATCACTGTCCAGCTTTCTGATGCATAGCATGTAATTGTGCATTTCCTACAGGACATAGAAAATTGAAAGAATATGCAAATGAGTGGAAAGTAAATGGAGACCCCTGAGAAGCATGAATTTCAATATCCACCGAGACTTTCAACTGCACCAATGTCCTGGATCTCTTCACTTGAGGCATCTCAAATTGTTTTTGCACTTTTTCTCTTCTTGGGGTCAATACATGTTAATGAATCAACCCCACATGGAAGGGTATGTGCCTGACAGTTAAGGCTGGATGTGGGCTAACGTTCCACCTCATCGCTAGATAGATGTATGACTATGGGCAACTTATGTCACCTCTCTGAGATTCCAAAGTTTCGTTAACCTCAGAGGAGTATGGAGAGAGTTCAATGTAATGTGAGGTAGGAACTCCCCATCTTGATAATCATCAAGGACCAGTTGTCAGAAGCACTGTAGAGGTCCCTTCCAAATTCCAGAATTCCAGGCAGTTATATCTTTGGACGGAATAGATTCTGGGCAAAGTTTGAAGTAGGAAAGCCTATAATCAATGTTTTCCCCAAGACATGCACGTCCTCCCACTGCCTCTGCAGTGCAGGCCTTCTCCCCAGCACCCTGACCCATGCTCGCATGCACACACACACACACACACACACACACACACACACACACACACACACACACTATGCACACAAACACTCGCTTGCTTGCTTTCTCTTGGAAGTGAATCATGCCAAGACATCATGAGCCTCCCACTGTTGTGCCCTGTGTCCGATCCCTCTGGTGAAAGGGCACTTCCTAAGTAGATTGTGTAGGGAAGGGACTATGAAAACAGGCTTTGGCAAAATATAATAATGTGTGACTTTAGAGGGGTTACGAACACAGACTTTGGCAAATAATAACTCCATGTCACGTTGGGCAAGTTTTCTCCTTCAGAGTTTTGTTTTGTCCAGTCTAAAGAGGATAAGAAGAGTTGATTGACAGTAATATGTCAAAGCCAGCCAACCACACAAAAAGCTGGAGCCATCAAGATGATTCTAACGCATGGAGACCTCATTGGAGTAGAACTGTGCTCCACAGAGTTTTCAAACGAGGCTATGAATTTTGTGAGCAGATCACCAGACCTTGCTTCTGAAATACCTTAGTGGGTTCAAATCTCCAACACTTCAATCAATAGTTCACACTTCCCACTTGCAACCCCCCAGGCGCTCTTTGTGAGTAATATAAATACATTCCATCATTGCTGGTGAGTTGGTGCTAAGTCTTAGTGACCCTAGAGGACAGTGTAAAACTCTCTCATGGGATTTTCAAGGCTGTAATCTTGGCCAAAGAAGACTGACACACCTTTCTCCCAAAGAGTGGATGATGGGTTCAAACCACAGACCTGTCAGGTAGGACATCCAAAGCTTAAGCACTGCATCACCAGGGTCTCTTGACATTAATAGGGTATAGGCCCAGTGAGGTAGAGTTTAGTATCTAGTGTGCTGCCTGGTGTTCCATAAGTACTTAGGACCTTGTTCTTGTTGTTATTAGGTGTCGTAGAATCAAGTACAACTCACAATGACTCTATGAACAAAAGACCTGAATCCTGTCATATTGTATGCACACCTCACAATCCCTGATTATCACACTCAAGCCCAATGCTGCAGCTACCTTGTTAATTCCTCTCATTGCAGGGGTCTTCCTCTCTTTTGCTACTTTCTAAGCCTGCTAACCCTTTTCCAAGGAAGGGCCTCTCCTAGCAACATATCCAAAGTATGAAAGACGATGTTTTGCCAGCCTTGTTTCCCAAAACCTCAGTAGTTATCAATAACTCTTCTTGTGTTAATAATATCATTGCATGCCACTTAATACATTCTCTGTAGCTGCTGCTGATGTTGTTGGTTCCTTGTTGACAGTGTTGATTCTGTTTTTATCTACTCGTAACATGATGCACCTCGTAACACTAATACACTGCCCAGTCCACCCACAAAAGTGAACCCCCAGTGTTCCTTAGAGGCAAGAATGGTGAAGTGTCACTTCTCATAATCGGGCATGTGGTTAGGAGAGGCTGGCTCTTGGAGAGAAGTATCATGCTTGTAAGAGCAGAGAGCCAGCAAAGGAGAGGAAGAGCCTTAAAAAGATGTGTTGTCATAGTGACTGTACCAGTAGTTTTGAGTATATCCGAGGTGGTGAGGATGGCCCAGGATAGGTCAAGGTTCAGAGATGTTATTCATAGGGTTCCTATGAGTCATGGTCAACTTGACGGCACCTAACAACACTAACAGCCCACTCAGGATTCTCTCTAGCACTAGTGTGGTAAAGTCAGTAGTGTGTCTGTGCCTGTGTGGCTATACCCATTGGCTTTCCTAACAGACAGTCGTGGGGTCCACTGTCCTCTTTGTCTTCTGAAATCCAGAAGATTCAGGATTGTGTAGGTTGCTTCCAAGTCTGCAGTCATTTTTGGTTGCACTGTATACAGGTTTGTTGTGGTGTTTTGTGTGTTTTTTTTTGGTTGTTGTTTTAGTTATGAATGTGGAACAATTAAATGCCTTTTATATATAAATCAAGGAGTAACTGTTGTTACTTGCTTCTCAAATTGATTTCAACTCAGTTTGACTCCCTGTGAGCAGAAAAGAGGATCAAGGTTGTGGCTTTTGGAAACAAATCACTGGATGCACCTTCAGATGCTGCTCTGGGGAAATTTGAACCATCAACCTTTCAACTAGCTGTTGAGTACTTAACCACTTGCACCACCCAGGGACTCCAAACCAAGGGGTGGAGGATATACATTTGGCACCAAAATGCTTATTCTATAAATTTTATATATATATATATATATATAAAAGTGCAAACATATTAAATAGTGTAGTACTAGAGGATACAACATTCTACAAGAATATTATGATCCCACAACTAAAATCCACTCCCTCTTACCTGATGGGCTGTGGAAGGCAATCATTGCCTCTTTGGAGTCCATTCCGCCTGCTCCATTACCACCTCTTCTGCTTTTCCACAATGAAGAGTCCAAAGTCATCCAGAAATAACATTTATTAATCAACAATAAAACACACAATAGAAAAGGCCTTGTAAATAAAACTATATCTTTATAATGCTTTATTTTTCTTTTTTTGCTGCAGTACTCCACAAAACACTACAGACAGTAACAAAATAATTCAATAAATATTAAAAACTTTTGAGAGTTATCAGACACTCTTTACCACATGTGAGCATTAACAATGCCACAGCCAGCACATACACTGTTAAAACACTAGCATAGATTTCTTTCTGGGAATAGAGGACATGATTAATTTTTTATCCAGAAGTCATAACATTTACACATATCCATACACAATAGAACAGCTCAGAGTAAGTGAGGCAGACTCCCCAGTGGCCTGGATCCATCTGCCTGTACAACATTTTAAGGTATTACAATGTAAACAGGAGAGAAGTCAACACACTAAAGAAATAAGTTAGGATTTGCTTGGAATGGGACAAGGGAAAGTGGGGCAATTAATGACAACTGCTTACATATTTTCCATTGCTCTCTTCCCAATATGATCCCTTCCCTTTTCTGCTTTTTCTTGGTTGAGGTATTCCAGCACTTTCATTAACAGATCTTCATCCAAATACTGCCTGCTTGGGGTGTCATCCATCTTCGGGACCCCCCCAGGGAGCCTTTTGCTTAACAAGGCTACCTTGTCAGTCTCCTGAGGACCTCCTGGGTTCAAGCGCTCTTTGATGGCCTGGCTCATTTGCTCCTCATCCTGGAGGTCATCTTCCGAAGAACCCTGACTGGGGACTCTCTTCATCGGGTTTGAGTTCATGAGCTCAGGGTACTTAACCAGCATCCTGGCCAAATACTCTCCCAACTCTTGATCCTTGTCATTCAGATTTTCATACATTTGTCTGTTGTCAACATCTGGCAGCCAGGCTGCCTTGGGAAGCTGATTTGCTCGAGCCCTTTCAGGACCATAGGGAAGCCTCGACAGAACCTTCTCTCGGCTGTACTGACTGGGGAAATACGGAGGTTTCTGATTTGCTGTTCCCTCCATTCCTAAGAGATTTAAAATGTCCTCCACAGTGACTCCTTCTGGAAGGGCCTCTGCCACAGCCCGGTCAGGAGATTTGGGGAAGCCATTCTTGGAGAGCATCTTGTTTTGGAACAGGTCTGGGAGATCTAAGTCAGCCTCTGCGAGGTCTTCTAGGTCAGCTGGAAGTTCAAACTCCTGCTCCGGCTCCGCTGGGCCACTTGGCTTCTCCCCAGTTTTGAGCATCTCAATTAAGTCTTCAGGGGGTATCTGTAAATTCCTTGAGATTTCAATAAGCTGATAGATAGACTGATAATCAAGTGGTTTCTCCAACAGCCTGGCTCTGTCTCCATTGGGCCCACTCTGTGACCTCACACTTCCGGCAGCACTCACTAACCTTTTCAAGTAGGCAATTACTTTGGAGATGTCATCTGAGAGTTGGCCTTTAGTTTCTTTCCGAAGATCTTCATCCTGCAGGCCCAGCTGCCCCGAGCGCTTCATTTCATTATTGACTTGTTCATCTTTTTCTAGATTCTCTTTGCTGTCTCTCACTTCTTCCTGGGTTTGACTCTCTATTTTCTCCTCTACTGGATTCCAATCTTCTCCTCCGACCACATCCTCATAGGCGATGTTGTTGGCCTTGTACATATCATCTTCATCATCAGCATAAAGCTTTTGCTTCTCATCAACCCCCTCACGTTTCTGGTTGTTTGGACCTGTCAGTTTTCCCAGTTCTTGAAAGACAGATTCCAGGGTAGCCAGACTCTGAGGGGTATATTGTTCCTCCACGATCTCATTTGTGCGTTTAAAGGGATTGTCCCTGGAATTCTCTTCATACATAGGGGGGAAGTGCATGTTCTTCAGCTTCCTTTCCAGCCACTGTGGAACTTCATAATCATCGGTCAGGTCCACTGGGAAGGTTTTATCTGAATTCAAAGAATAGGGCTTGTTTTCTCTGGGTGTAGTCTGCGGCTCACCCTCAGCCTGCCTCAGGGCTTCCATTATTATTCTTATCCACTCATCTTTACTCAGGGAATCCCTAGAACTTTCTGGAAAGTGGCTTTCATCACCACTTTCTTTTTGCTGGAGAGGAACAGAAACACCTTGGTAGGGATTATAGTCGGGGCTGCTTTCTTCTTTGTGAGCTTGTTGCCGGAGTTTTTCTATATACTCCAACGCTCGGATCATTTCTGGGCTGGGGAAGCGTTGGGCATTTTCCAACCTGGGGTCCAATTCCTTTGGCAGCAGCTGATTGCGCTGAAGTGAAGCTGCTTTGGCACAGGAGATGAAGAAAAGTAAAGAAATAAGAGACAGGACTGCTCCGAGCTGGTGGGTCTTGGCTTCTGCCATGGTTGAAATAGCTCCTTTAATCACAAGAAAGATGAGTTAATACAAATGAAGCAAACTAGAAGACACTAGAGCAAAAACAAATTATGCCTGATGAGGGGGAAACACATAGCAATCTCCTTCCACATTAATTTTAGGACAACCCTACTTAAGATTCACTTAATCCCATAGTACATCCATAGGCTAATAGCAAAATTGTTATATATACTTGCATCCAACATCCTTATCCATCATACATAGAATTCTTATTGCTAAAACAATAGCTAACTCACTAATGTGAAGTCTCTCAGATTTCATTTTCCTTCTAAAAAGCATCATTTGCCTTCTAATGCTCCCCTTTTAAAAAAGAATTGAGTGACTTTCCAAGATGACTTTTAGTCATCTTGAATAGCCTTCTTAATGAAATCACAAAAGGATTTATTGATTTCCTTCCTAAAATGTATATACACACATAAATATTCATTTCCTGTTTTATCAAAAAATAGTCTATTTCTTGAAATGTCCATAAAATGTTGCTATTGGCAGACAATGGGAATGATTCTATACAAGTAAGTGATATATAGCATTTAAAAAAATTTTTTTTATATCTAGCATTTTAAAGTCAATAATATTGAATTACCTTTCTAGTCCCATTCACATAAAGTTTTCAGAAACAATGCGTTCATTTTGCACCAAAACCAGGCATGGTAAGTATACTTTACTATCCTCCAGAACGTGAATCTTCTCAAGTCCCAGCTAGTGAATTAAACCGGAATTTTTTTTTCTCCTTCCATGCAAATGTGATAAAATAATGAATTAAAATGTCTTTTTCAAATTCTGTGTTCTATAAAACTTTTAATAATTATTTTGTTATTTTCTTCAAAAATGCATCTGTGGTTCAATTTTTCACCAGCCTTTAAGAATGTATAGTAAATAATAACAGATGCTACAGAGAGAGCATAAGTTTTCTTAACTAGTCTATTTCTGGATTCGTGAGTGTTCAGCTTCAGCTTGTCTTATGTTGCTGTCTATTTTGGTGTGGACCTGTGAAATCTGAAATGACTCATACTTAGGATATCTTAAAATAACTACTATGTCATTCCCAATTTAGATAAATAGACAACGTGTTGATTTCTTCCTATTTAGAAATCTTCATTCATTTTTCTCCTCCAAGGTCTTATAATCTCAGAAATGAATTATCAAAGGGATTTAATCTTTCATTTCTTCACTTGACAATGCTAATGCTAAAAACCTTAACACTTGCAAACATAATTGCACATGAAATGAATATAAAAGATGTCTAAAATTTGTCCATGATTTCTTTATTGGAACATGATTTTAGGACAGGTAAGTTATGTGGGTCTAATTTTCTCAGTCAGGATATGAATTGTACAAAATATCATTGTTCAATAGACTATATCAGTAATTAAGCAATATTTTCCATTTTTTAAGTCTAGTAGTGATTGTTGTTTTAAATACTTCTTAAACATTTATATATTAATTAAAACAATTCTTCTTGACTAAACTGCTTAACATACTGAAACAAAAACTCTAGAAACATTTGAAAAGATAGTTAAAAAATTTCTTTTAAAAATTTATCATTATAACAAATTGTATAAAATATTTTAATATAAATTGAGGATGTTACACATTTTTCTTATTATCTCAGCACTGTTTTAACTTTGAGGACAAATTTTCAACAGTTGGCATTTGAGAAAGTCACTTAAAAACCTTACTGAAGTTGTTTGGTTTTTAAAAAAAAAATTATCCTGCAGTTGTCTTACCGTATTATGTGCATATTTTTAAACCATTGAATTAGTTAGGTTTTGCTAGAAAGATGGAGTAGAATTACCATTAAGTACTTTGACTCACAGTCTAGCAAGAGCTATCCCTAGGTTGTTTATTCAGGTTGATTTTGGATGATACAGTTGTTTCCTTTGAGTAAAATGCAAGGGAATTTGTTCTCAGTAGCAGCTCTTCTAAGAAGTAAATATGATTTCAACAGCTGCATTATCCTACATAGGATTTTATTTCAAATTTCATTTTCCCAGTCCTAAGTAATTAGAAGAGTGTTCCTTCTCAGACAGCTATTTTTAAAACCACTTAAGGTAAAATGTCTTTCTTATTCACAGTAGGTGGATGCACTGACATATACAAGTAAATAAATGTAATTTGAGTAATCATACTAGTTAGAATACAGAGAAAAGGCATACTTGTCCCACTGAGATTTTTTTTAGCAAAAGATCATGCAGCCTACTTCATTTAAAGCATAATAATAATAACTGTTCATACTATCATGAAGATTTTCAACAATAACTTAAAATTGTCACTTCTCTGTTAATTCAGTCAATTCAAGCTATAATCCAACATAACACTATTTCACCTCCAAAATAAGAGTAAGTCTATATTAAAAAATAATTTTAAGCTTATCTTGGGGGACTGAAATGTGGAAATAATAGTGCTAACATTTTTCAGATTATAACCATTTAAAATATTAATTGTATATAGTTGGTAAATTTTGTGCTTTTGCCAGGGAATTTTCAAGGAAGGGGGGGGAACTATTTCAAAAATTGATTGTCTTTCTATTTAACAGCTTTGTTTCATAGAAAGCCTATTGTTAAGAATATTAAGCATATGAATTATATCTTTGCTTTGTATCCGCTTTTTTGAGGGGTGGAAAAAAGCCCACTAATTTAAAGGGGAAAACAAGGTAACAGAATTAACTTCCCATTCACATGAACATTGACAGTAAAATTCTGAACTTTTCCACTCGTCTTCCAATATGGCAATCTAAACCCTATTCTGGTTAATAACATCATCCAACAGCAAGTAGTATAAATCACAGGTTTACCTTGTATACACAGGTCATCTCTTCATAAGGACTGACAAGCAGCAGGTTGTTATTCAGTTATTCTACAGCTAAAAGCTAGCCAGCCAATATTTTTTCCTTCTCTTCTAAGAATTAAGAGGAGAGCACGCCATCTCAAACTTTACAGTAAATGGGAGAAAAGCAGTCTTACGTTTTTCAGATGGCAGAGAAGGTCCACAGCATGATCGTCTTGGTCCTCTGGGCGAGAAGCTGGGGCCGTTTCAGCACCCGGACAGCTCCTCGGCTTATAGAGAGCCAGGCGCCTGACTCCGCACTGCCACACTGACGTCACCGGGCCCAGCCACAAACCCCACAAACCAGAGCACGAGTGAGCTTTCTCAAAGAACCTGAGGGAAAATAATCACTTTATACATTTAAAAAAAAAATATGCTGCATGCTTACGCCACCTGTCTTTTTGTAGTGAAAATTGCAGTTTTCTTAAAATCTCTGAGACTTGAAATACAATACTCTGTATAGTTTTTTTATTAGCAAGGAAGAAATCTGTCAGACATGACTAACTGCATGATAATCTCAGCTATTTGCTAATATCTTCCTGTAGAAATCACTTTTTCTTAGTGTGATAAGAAAGTTTCATCACAGAAAAGCTAGTTGGTGTGTGTTTGTG